ATTTAGATACAGTTGATGAATCAAATAATTATGCAACAATATCAAATGAAACAAAAAGTCTTGAACGTTTTACAGATAGTTTTGTATATAAAGATTTTGTTCGACAAGGTCTTATTGTAACAACATTTCCACCATCACGTTCAACAATACGTACAACAAATGTTACATCACTTACATCAACTATATCATTAATAAATTCATCAAATATAAATGATAATAATTTAAATAGTAATGTACAACAACAATTAATTAATTCAACTAGTGGAAATAATAATAATAATAATAATAATAATGTAATGAACACAACAACAGGAATGAATACAATGTCAACAACTAATACATTAATGGTTACTAGTGATGATGCTTTTCGTATTTCACATATTAATCGAAATTTTGGGTTTTGTAGAAGGTAAATTAAAAAAGATTGTTATTCCTAAGGCTGAACGGCCCGACAAAATATTTTATTGGACCGAGCCGGGCGGCCTGTTTCGAGATACATATCTCTATTGATATTTTCCTACACCTAACTTCCTAACCTAAATTCAGTGGCGTACGCAGGAAGGGGGAGGGCCGAGAGGTCTGGGTCCCCTTGAAGAAAAGTTCCCTGTGGGGGAGTACGGGTAAAAAAAGTACTACGGTACAAATTTTTGGAAAACTTCAATACGAGCCCCTTCCTTGGAAAATTTCTGCGTACGCCACTACATGAATCGATCCTTTAGTGGATCGATTTATATCAATAATCACTGTTTTAACATTTTTATAACTAACTAACAACATCGAATGGCTCAATGATTAGAGTGATGAATTCTCAATTCATACATTTAAGGTTCAATTCCTTATTTGATGTGATCCCTATGATAAACTCTACTACATAATATCGAATAACTCTATTCTATTGAATCTATTCGCCATTCTCTCTGCAAGCTAGAGCCCATCGGGTCCAAGAATTTTTGGACCCGGACCCAATAGACTCCACTGAAGGCTTCTTTACGAGACTGAAAAATGAACGGACGTGTTGTCAAATTACTTTTCGATCATTTGTTTATAATTTTTTGAAAATTTTCAAATTTAAATATAACTACATTGATTTTTATCTTTCTAGCTATCCATTGGTACTTGTATTACCTAAAGATATTCTCGATGAAAGTTTGAAAAAAGTAGCACGATGTCATAAACTTCAACGGTAAATTTTGTTTTTTTTCTGAAAAATTTTTGTCAAATATAATTTTCTTTATATTTAGTGTTCCTGTTATTGTTTGGCGTAATCCACGTACAAAATCTCTTTTATTACGTGGTTCAGCTTTTTGTAATAAAGGTTTTATTAATCTACTTGTTAAAGGTCCACAAACAAATTCAAGTATGTATTAAAATTTTGTTTTAAATAAAATAAAATAAAATTTTTTCATATTTAGGTTCATCAAGTGATACAAATGCAAGTATAGAACAAGAACGTTATTTTGATGCTATTGTTAAATTAACACCAACAAAAATGCCATTTTCATCAGATCTTGGTGATGGTGATGAACCTGAATCAACTGATATAACACCATTATCTGTTCGAAAAACATCACATCATTCAGCAACAAATCGTTTACAAAATTTTTTACCAACACGTGTTTTATATGATCGTCCACGAGCAAGTATGTTTGAATAAAAAAACAATTTTATTATCTATAAAATAATAGATATATATATTTTGTTTTTTTCGTATGTATATAATAAAAACAAAAAAATTTTGTCCATCTCTAGAAAAAATGATAAAAAATCAAAATGAAAATATATCAAATAATCGATTAATAAATAAAAATCGTTTATCTGATCTTTTCAAAAGTTCGAGTAGTACAACATTAACGGATAATATGCGATTGGCTTTTGGTAAAGAAAAAAAAATATATATAAAATGACCATTGTCTAAAGTTTGATTATTTTTATACCTATTTGCATCAGCTTTATTTATCCTATATTTTTTTTTTCAAATACATTAGCTTCTTGCTTTTGAATGAATTATTTAAAATAATATTAAATTTATTTCTTTTTTTTTTTGTATTTTAGCTAGTATTAATGTTCATTCAAATATTGATACATTACCAAGAAGTGAAACAGCAAG